TATCAAGTTGGCATTGACTTTTAGTGATTCCATAGTTAGAGACTGGAGATTTCTCCATGATGTCTGTCCCTAACTATCAGTCACAAATGTCCTGTTTGACTTCTTATATTCTCCAGTTGTATTGCTCAAATAATACTTTAATGGCCTGTTAATTGTCCTTTGGCCTAACCGGCTAAGATGCTGTAAGGTGGTTTTAAAATCAAGTCATGCCTACTTTTGCAAATGATCAAGTGGAAATGCCAACTATTGCAACAGAAGTGGTCATCTTGCTTGGTAAGTAAAAAAGTTATAAATAGATCCAAAGGTATAAAAGGTTCAACTCTGCGGAGGTCCAATCTCACTATGAGGATCAAAGGTGAGAAAGTATGGTGAATATTTAAAATGCTTCAGGTTGTAATTCTACCCAGATAAGTTCTAACTATGTTAATGAGCATAGCTAGTATGTGTGTGTGTATGTGTGTGTGTGTGTGTGTGTGTCTGTCTGTCTGTCTGTGGGGGGGGGGCAGAGAAAGCCTGCTATTCCAGTATTTGAGGGGCTGCCATAAAAAAGAGGGGGGTCACCTTATTCACCAAAGCACCAGAAACAATGGTTGAAAACTGATCAAAGAGAGAAGCAACCTGAAATTAAGGAGAAACTTCCTAACAGTGAGGATAATTAACCAATGGAACACCTTGCCTCCAGAAATCGTGGGCGCTCCATCAGGTTTTTAAGAAGAGACTAGACAGTCACTTGATTGAATTGGTATAGGTTCTCCTGCATGGGCAGGGGGTTGGACTAGAAGACCTCCAAGGTCCCTTTCAGCTCTATTCTATTCTATGTCAGGAAAAATTGATTCTCCAGTAAAAATCTAAGTGGCTTTTTAAAAATTTGGTATTTCAAGATTCGGTATTCAGTTAAGTTGCTTGGTAGGAATTATCTTCTATGAAGTCATTTAGAACAGTGGTTCTTAACCTGGGCGATATCGCCCCCCTCAGGGGGTGATTCATTTTTCAGGGGGGCGATGGAACGAAAAGGGGCAACATGGGGGCGAAGGAATGAAAAGGGGGTGATATGGGGGCAATGGAGTGAAAGGTTTTGGGGACACTTTTGAGCCTTCCCCTGCAGCTCTGAGCCTTCTCAGCCATTTGCAGGCAAATCTCATGCGGATTTGCTCCCTCTCAGGGCTCCTGATTGGCCTGCGCCTGGGTGCCTCGGCCCCTGGAGAAGCGCAGCCAGTAAGTTTCTTTCCCTGGCTGGCCCCATCTGAGGTGCACGTAGCCGGGGAACCGCATGGGAAAACCCCGGGATCCCCACTGGGAACAGCCCTCCAGAGCCTCAGCTAAGCGGGCCAGCCTTCCTGCAAGCCACAGCCCCAAGGGAGAGCAGCCCCTACAATCCCCAGCCACGGGACCATTGGCCCAGCTGGTTGGGAAGGCATGCTGGAGTCCCAGCTGCTTTGTTGGTGAAGAATGTGAGGTGAGCAGAAGATGGGGGGGGGGAGAAAGGGAGGGCGGAGGCATTTTCCAAACAGCAGCAAAGAACCCCAGCTGGACCTGCAGGAGCGCCTCCTCTTGGTGCCCAGCACTGGCTTCCTTGCCCTCCTCCTCCTTCTCCTCCCCTTCTTTCTCCTGCTGCCCCCCAGGTGGCAGTTCCAGCTGGGGTGGTGGCTGACTGGGGCATCGCTCCCTGGGCAACGCTGGTGTGTCATGGATCGCCAGCAGTGCCACGCGGTGTGGAGCGGCCCCAGCTCCTCCAGCACAATGGACCTACCGGCAGCACAGGAGGCTCCAGCATTGGTCCTGGAGGGAGGCGGATCATTGCCCCGGTTCCGACCGAGGATGCCAGCAGCGTGGGAGGTTTGGCAATGCAGCTGACGGGCATTCTGCAGATGCCCCGTGGCCCTGACTTGAGCCCAGGGACGCCAGCGGCACGTGGGACAGCCTGCAGGCCTGGTGGGCAGTGGAGCTGGATGTCTCCAGCAGCAACAGGTGGTCTTCTGCTGCCTGCTGCCCCCCTCCCCGCCCCTTTGGTGCCCTCTGCCTTTTGTTCTCTCTCTCTCTTTCTCTCTCTCTCTCTCTCTCTCTCTCTCTCTCTCCTCACCTGGAGAAAGAAGGAGGGAGGGAGAGGAAAGAGAAAGAGAGAGGGAGAGGGGAAAGAGAAAAAGAGGGAAAGAAACAGAGAGGAAAGAGAGGGAGAGGAATTATTATTATTATTGTTATAAGTGCCTCTCCGTCTCTCTCTCTCTCTCTCTCTCTCTCTCTCTCTCTCACACACACACACACACACACACACACACACTGAGTGGGGAAAGAGGAGTGGCAGACCAAGGGCAGAGAGAGGGAGAGGGAGGGAGGGAGGGAGAGAGAGAGAGAAAGAGAGAGAGACCCTTTTGACATCTAAAATAAAGATAACACTGAAGATATATATATACCCATATAGAGCAGCAGAATTGCCATAAGACAGAAGGACGACAACATGTGGGTTCAACCCGCCTCCCTATTCACTGCGTTTGAGGAAAGCCACGCCCCCTGCAGTTGCATGGGAGGAGAGAGCTTGTAAGCTCCCTGCCTCAGGAACAATCATACATCCCCGGACAGCAGCGTTTCGAGCGACGAAAGAAGAGGGGGTGACTATTAGATGCCAATTAGATCGGGCGCTGAAACGATCACCCCAGAGAGTATCTGCCACCCCACTTAGCGGACGGCAGGAATCACAGACTGGTTCCCCAAATGGAATAGGAACTATTACAAGAAAGAAGGAGATTGATGCTGTCAAGGATTACAGCAGGGTGGTGGTTAGAAAGACCGAGTGTGAAGGGAGGTCAGATAGTGCGAGTGCATGCAGGATGTTTGTAATAGGATCTTGGAATAGAGAGCAGGAACATGATGGTGATGGATGTCGAAAGGGTGGAGGGGGGAAGAGATCCATCTGTGCAGAAGGTTTCAAGGGAGAGGAGGGAGGGGAAGCAACTTGGTGATGATGATCACACACTGGATTGTAGAAAGACCGTATGCCCTCTTGAGTCACAGATGCAGAGAGGTGGGAAAATGAAAGCTAGTACACATGTAGATGGGGGGGAATGAGGACAAACTGAATAATTGTGTAGCAATTGACACAGGTGCAGCGATTGGCCGATTGGGACCTGTTACATGGTCCAGAAGTCGAGCGCAGGCGCTGGCTTGTTTATAAATGTCTCTCCCATTGATTTATTTGCACCCTGATGATGTTGGCAGGAGCCAACGAAAGCTAGGTCTGCTTTTTAAAAAACTTTTAAATGTTTTATATTTAAACTTTTAACGTTTTATAAAACTTCTGTTTCCATGGTGAACTATATTTTGGGGTGTAGGCTGTTGAGGTGTGTGAGGAAGTTGTCCAGTTTTTCTTTCCCATGTGGCCAGATTATGAAGGTGTCATCTACGTTTCGGATCACAAACCCAAACTCTGGCTCAGATACGTAGATGACACCTTCATAATCTGGCCACATGGGAAAGAAAAAAAAAAGATGTCCTTGTAGAACATAGAATAATAGAGTTGGAAGGGACCTTGGAGGTCTTCTAGTCCAAACCCCTACTCAAGCAGGAGACCCTGTACCATTTCAGACAAATGGTTGTCCAGTCTCTTTTTAAGTCTCCAGTGACGGAGCACCCAAAACTTCTGAAGGCAAGCTATTCTATTGTTTGATTGCTCTGTTAGGAATTTTCCCCTTAATTCTAGGTTGCTTCTCTCCTTGAATTATTTTGTCATGACCTCCTGATAGTTAACTAGGATAAAGCATTAAAAAAACAATATTTTTCTTTGATTGTAAATACATCTGAATAAGCTTTACAGTATTTTTGAAGTCTTCCCTAGCCTCAGCTCACATTAATGTTGTATTAAACACTTATCTTATTCCTCTCTAATTTAAAATCCTACTGATAGTGCTAGCTTTGCACACGTTCGAGACTAGGTTTGCCTATCAACTCAACAGGGGATCATGGGGCAAACCATTTTTGTTTAGCTACCCTTGAGACACTATGACTTATACATGAATTGGCTAGTAGATGAAAGAAGAATATATTTATTGGTAAGGATCCACATTCAGCGTGTAATATTTCAGGGACGAAATATATGGGAAAACCATAACCTGACTCTGGAAAGTGAACTGCTCTTCCACAGAGAAGCATATCAAACTGGACAGGCCATCTTCGACTTACAGCCATTCATTTAGCGACCATTCAAAATTACAATAGCATTACAAAAGGTGATTTACAACCAGTCCTTGCACTTACTGTATGATTGTCACAGCAACCCCAGAGCGTGTGATCAAAATTTGGATGCTTGATGACCAGCATGAATTTAAGACGTTGCAGCGTCCCAGGCCATGAGATTGTTGTTTGTGACTTTCCCAGCCAGCTTCTGACAAAGTCAATGGATTCACTTAACGACTGTGGGAATTACTTCAAAACTGCAATGATTTGCACAACAATCATGGCAAAAACAGTCATAAAATTCTGGTTCTAAGTGTGGTTATAAATTGAGGATTACTTCAGCATATCTGACAGATGTGTTTATGAGTTAGACTAAGTTATAAAGTTATAGAGTTACTGCTCTTGATGTCCAGTTTTCAGTGACATCAATCCACATTCTAGGAATACTTCTTCTTTCTTTTCAGCCAGAATATTAACTCTTATTCCAATTCTGATTTGGAAATAGTTAGATATTTATTAGTTAGTTAATTATCAGTTCAATTATATGAAATGGAAAAACAGTTTTAATTTTTTGGGGGGGTTGTATTTGTGTTATGCCGACTGTTTGATTTTTCAAATGAGATTTGGATTTGTGAAAGATGTTTAAGGGAAATTATTTTTAAAGAAATCGCAACATCGTAATTCTAGACAAACTTTGTATTCAGTGCAAAGCCATTTGTGATACAAAAGTATCACAACTACAAGCAATTTCTATTAAAAATCTTTATAAAGTGTACTAATCTTGAAGAAGATATTCAACACGGATTATGTTCAATGCAAATAAAAAAATCATATCCACAAATTCTTTTTATTACAAAATTCTCAGAATATCAGTGATGAAATGGATGTTAAAATTTGTGTTAAAAAAACAAAACAAAAAAATAAGCTATGACAACTCTTCAAAATATAGAGGTCTTAAAAACACATTTACTTTTTTAAAAAAAAACAAATACAATTAAAAACACGTAAAAACAAATAAGAAGGAAACTTTATCAAAAGGAATACAAGAAAATACCTGGGAACTATAATCCTTATATTCTATGGAATTCTGTAAGGCTGATGTTCTAATCTGGATAAATTGTGACATATCAGTGTGAATTTGGAAACTTAAGTGGATTAAGTGTCTAATCAGAGCAGCATCCTATTTCCAACAGTGGCAGCTCACAGAGGCGAAAGTCGGATGCAGAATGAATCACAACTTGTTGCTCTCAGTTCAGAGATGGAGAACCTGCCAGGAACTTTACAACATTGTACCGAAGAATTTGTTTACTCTTGTTTTAAAGGCAGTTAAAAGATCAAGATCATATCTGGCAAGTCCAAGACATATTGCTGGTTGTGGCAAAGGAAAACATAGCAACCTATCTCCCTCTGTTACCCTCCATACATGAAAGCTGTCAGATAGCTTAAAAGTGGAGGAAAGCTTGTGGGGAGTGTCTACATTGGAGACAAGGGAAAAGCTATTGCTCCCCACAATACTGGCCATTTGAGGAAGTTGCATTGATTTATCTAATGAGGGCCTCAATTCTTCAGTTAGCCAAAGTAAAAAGTTACAGGACCTCGTTAGACTGTTACAAATAATTTAGGAGCTGGATTTGATTTGATGAGAAATAAAATTGTACTGGCCTGCTGGTATGATCTTATTCACCTCATATAGGGAGTCATCAAGTGCACAGTTCATTGTGTCCAAGCATAAGTTATTTGTTCTGTTCTCCAAAGTATGCATCACCTTGAAGGGCTCATAACGATTTGGGTGGTCTGCATTCTGTAATATGACTCATTGTTCTGTCTGCCTGAAAGCCTCTGTGTGAGTGTGTGTGTGTGTGTGTGTGTGTGTGTGTGTGTATGTATGATATTTCGCCATACATAGTTGCTGAGTTTGCTAAAGGGGCCAGTAGTTGTAACAATGAAACATCAGAGAAAACCAGACATAGTTTGTTTTGCAAATGCAGCCCTTTAGCATTTCTACAAACCCTGCATTCATTCCAGATTTCTTGTCACCATAGATTAACACAACTCTCCTCCTCTAATGCTGAAAGGGTAGTACTTCTATTATTGTCATTCTTCCCTTTATGGATATCTAACACAGTCCATGCCATAGAATACTTTCCGTCTCTTTGCAAATCATGTTCACCCTCTTGCAGACAAAGGTCTTCATTTAAAATTCCATTAGGACTTGGGGAGAGGCGAAACAAAACTTCTCCTCCAGCACTTCCATCCTGAGGTTAAGAGTAAACTCAGAGTTTTATTCTATCAGTTTGTGATTATTGTTTTCCTACAAACATTAACAGCATGGGTCGAGAACTGTACTTTTCACAGCAGCAGATGAAGAAGAATGGACTTTTCTTTCATCCCAAGATTAGGTGAAAAGAATTACTCTCATCTGCCAAGTTTGTAATTCTGCCATTCTTCTACTGTATACCTTTGGAACAGGTATAGCTTTTACAATAATATGAAGTGACTGCTTAGGTGTGCTCAACATAGCTTGACTGATTTGCCTTCAAGCTAGCTTTGGATTCCTGCTATTCTGCCCTTGCTGTTAACACACATCGCTCAAAATATAGTTAGACTCTAGCAGGATCTAGGAATCCAAAATTCAAGAATGCTGTCTACCAAAAATGTCAGCTGTTTCTCCAGTTGAATCTATGGGAAAACAAAGAGACAACTTAATAAATTCTTCAGTTCAGGAAGAAAAGAGAAACAGTTATACTAGTACTTTTGTTTACAAATATATATTTATGAAAGGCCTTAGCAGGCAAATTGAAAAAAATAACTGAGCAGAATAAGACTTTAAAATGTCCTACTTATTTCATTCTTATGTGTATTTCCACAAGGAATCTTCAGTCCATATATCAGATTTAAGTAATTTAAATCTTTTAATTAGTCAATTATTGCACCTGAAGATGGATTCTGTACTTGACAAAATGAATATCTATCATGGCCCAAATGTTTATGTTTGTATATGCTTTCAAAATGTAGGATGCTGACAAATTGCATTGCTTTCCTCCTTTCTTTTCTTTCACCATCCATCTGCAATCATGAGGGTTAGAAATTTCAAAAGCATAAAAGTAGAATTACTCTTAAGAGTTGCCAGTCATCCTCATTTTATCCCTGAAGTTTCTCTCTTTTTGACTTTTAAAGATCACCTTAAACATATAATTAACTCCATAATGGAACATTAATTTTTACCTTATCGTCGTTTGAATGCAATGGGAAGTTCTCGGTTGGGGATGAGGATTCCTAAGTGAAGAGCTTCTACTGGCTTGTCGTCAGTAGCTACAATCTGATACTTCCGTATAAGCTGTAATACAAAGGGGAAAATGTTCATTAGAGCCTCCCCAACCTGTAATCAAGACATATTCTGAGTTGGGGAACCTGTCAGTTAAGTAAAATATAGCGTCTCTGTCAAAGTTTAACCCCCCCAGAGGCAGTATTAGCAGGAAAATATGATACAGTAAAAAGTTCAGAAGACTTTGAAAAGTTCACCCCTTTCAGTAAGAGAAATAAGCAATATTTTAGGTAGGAAGGATTGTAGCAATGCTTTGTTTATCATTTGGTCACTTCTCCAACACAAAATCACCGAACCCTAAAATTGGAAAGGATCTTCTGATCCAGTCCTTTGTTGAGTGCAGGATCACTATAGCACCTCTGATAGATGACCACCCAGCCTCTGTTGGAAAGAGAGTCCTCCTCCTGAATTTAATAAAAAATTGGAAGTTCATCTTGTTAAAAAGACAATTCGCCCTCCAGTACAAAGGGAAAAGTTGCTCCAATGTACCCTTTTGATTCTTTCAGTAGGGCAGTGTTTCCCAAACTTGACAATTTTAAGGCATGAGGACTTCAACTCCCAGAATTCCACAGCCAGCAACGCTGGCTGTGGAATTCTGGGAGTTGAAGTCCACATGCCTTAAAATTGTCAAGTTTGGGAAACACTGCAGTAGGGCTTGCCCAGAAAAACTTTGCCCAGATTGTTTCTCGGGAGATCCTGGGCCCCACACTTCGTTTAAGAACAACTGTAAGCTGTTCTATAACTTTTTAAAAAAATCAGTGTTGATGTATTAAAGATGGTAATAAATTTCCACTAATATTTTAATAATTTAGCTTAATGAAACAAAAAGCTTGCATTCGCTGCTCTTCCAGGCTCTTCCTCCAGGGTGATGGCAAGGAGGGAAACTGAGAGTTTCTTCACCCATTGAAAAATTAATCACAGCTTAGTTCTACCTTTAAATCTTGAGCTGTGAAAACGAGCCAATTTTGTAATCTGTGCTTGTTTCTTCTAATACACTTTAAGATTCATACGCAAGTTGGATTCAGTTGATGTGGAGAATTATGAAGAATGCAAAACCAAAGCAGAAGCATACATATATCTTTCCTTGTGGCCATGCCTGAAGAAAAACATTAAGCTCAAGCATTGCTATGCTACATGCAAAGCTGCTATATTCTCTGCTTTGAAAAAAAAAAAGCCTTAGGCTCTCAGATCTCTGTCTCTCAAGCTAAATACCATCGGGGATTAGCAAAATTGCAGTGGAGAAGGTATGTAGGTATAGGTAACATATATGGATGTCAGTCTTCCAGGTAAACCAGATAAGAAACACAATTAGAAGAGTTAATTCTACAGTATTGTAAGGCTAGTTGAACAGACTCTTGCAAGTCTGAAAGTACAAACTTCCCACCATCACTTTTAACAGTCTGATCAATTGAGGCAGGCCTTTCTTAAGTTTTTTTTTCTTCAGACCATTAACTGACTGTGGGTTCTTCCCTCTCTTCTCTAATAGTTCTCTAGGTAGCATGTCTTTCCCTCATTCTCCAAGATCATCCATACATTCCATTACAATGGAAAACATTTTTGCTGCCACAGAATGCTTACTCTTTTGTGCAGATTAATGGGGGGAGACATATGTATCTAACGTAACTGAATGCTTACCCAACAGAGAGCTAGCTGAAGTTGCAGCTCTGCCAGTCGGCGCCCAACACACATTCTTTTTCCAATGCCAAAGGGAGCATGAGAAAATGGATGGATGGTTTTTTGCAACCAACGCTCTGGCTGAAACTCACTCCAGTTACTGAAATATTCTTCATTGCATCCCAGAGCGTAAGTGTTAATCATCAACACAGTCTGTAAATACAAACACAAATACACAAAGTGTATTTACGAAGCAGTGAGAAAAATGTCAAATGAGTGGAGCATGGACATATTTTGCTTGGGGGGGGGGAAGACTCAAGGCAGTTGCCTATAACAAAATATTGATGCTGAACCCAAAGTAAATGTGTATCACAATCCAAAGGAAAGATCTTAGTCAACAACAAGAGATAAAATTATGACCAGAATTTTCAAAACTTCTTGCAATGAAGATATATTTTCAGTGAATTAAAACAGGCAGGATTTTAGTTCTTTGGAGAAATGGCAAGCTTAGGGAGAAAAATACAGGGTTGTCTCCCCTCTTTAAAGACAAGTTAAATGAGATTTAACTTGACTTGGAGTCATTTTTAGGATCAGGATCAGATTTCAAACATGTTAAGTAATGTTACAGAAAACAGAGATTTCCATACCTCTAAGAAATCAGGGTCGGGCCTTATAATTTAAGATAAAACATTTAGGAAGGGCAATGATGTGAAAACATGTTTTATTATTTTACTGAGCAGATCACTAAGGGAGGAGCTGCACTGGTTAAATGTCTGCTTATATATACTGATCATGTTCACACAGGACAATAATCTGCTTACTGAATTGACTTATTTTCTGAATTTACTCAATACTTTGAATCTAATCAAACAAACTTAGCTTGCATAAGGAAAAAAAGCATTATCTTCATCAAGTTAACTCTAACCAGGTAGAATGTTATTGATAACCTCTTGAATAAGTTGCTTAAGGAAGTTGTATTAAAATAGAGACTATAAAGCAACATGGATATCAAGGCAGCTGTAATTATTCAATTTTCCCAAATACCACCCCCCACAATGATACAATGAATGCTGGCTGAGCAGAATTTAAAATAAATATGATCTACAGTTTGCTCAGTGGCCTCTTAGTAATATATTTGAGTCTGAGGACCACAAGTGTGTGATGGAGCCCATTTTTGGATTATGCTGAGTGATGTTTTTCTAATTTTCTCTTGGTTGTACTTATTTTTCATATTGTTAGCCACCCAGAATCATGTACTTGAGATAAGGTGGCCTAATAAATCCAGTAAATAAGTCCATAGCAGAGAAAATTGCTGTTATCTGATCAAGAAAAGCTATATATTTTTTGGGTGTGAGTAAAGGCCGAAATGGATAAAAGATGGGTGAATATCAATAGAATAAGGATGATTTTTTCTGCATTTTGGGGAGTGAGAGAGATAAGGGTTTTTTCTTCTTTTGCTTAATCGATGTTAAACTCAATATAGATCTTACATTACACTTTGTGTCTATTCCCAGCTCATAATGGAAAGAAATCATGTGAGAAAGTGCTATAAGGAGGTGTAAAGTGATATTTTTTGAGTTAGCTTTGAGTCAGTTCCTGTATATCTAAGAGATTTGAGATTTAAAAGCAATTTCAACACTATGCCTGGCATATATCATGACACAAAGATGATCAAGCTTTTGACTCCCAACCATTGACATGCCGGCAAGTGTGATAAGATATAAGGCCAATCACATTTTGCATCAATGCTGTTGTTGGCAGCAAAAAAAAAGAAGTTATACATTCAACCATTTAATCAAAATAAATTACAGTACGTGGTGGAAGTCACTTACCCCTTTTGGAAGAGCATAATTCCCAAGGACTGTTTCTTTGTCAAGGGTTCGTGTAGTAAACGGCACAGAAGGTGTTAACCTACAGTAAAATGGGATAAGTACACTTTATTTTTAGGGGGTGGGTGGGTGTCAAACCTATCTATCAAGTGGTACACACCTTATCAGCTGAACTATATAAAACATCCAGAGGTAACCCAAGTGACTTTCTAAACCTGTTGCTCAGAGCATCATGAATAAGCTGGTTAAGGTTGTTGTGTTAACATCCTTATTTTAGAAAAGTTTGGCGTGAACGTTTCAAAATTCTTTTTGTTTCTCACTCTTCACAGCATAGAAGACCCTTCCAACAAAATTGCTACATATTTTAGAGCCTGGGAATGAACTTTAAAGTAAGTATGCCAACCTTAGGAAGGGTCCCTTCTGAGCCTTTTGTGTTGTCTATTATCCATCTGTGGGCTATGCTCTCTTATCTGACTGTTCCCTAGGTAGCATCTCTTTCCCCTGTCTCCCAAGGTCTTCTCCACATACCACTACACCATGCTCTTTGTCCTCAAACAAGGAGAAAAAGGTGGCCTAGGTGGAATTTCAGCCTGTTCTATTCAGGTATCCATCTTACATCGGCCTTCCTTTGAGCTATCAATAGTTATTTGAATCTTTTGCTCTACAGCTGCCAATTCAAGGGAAAAGAATAATTTTATTCTTAGGTTTGTGAATCAGTTTACCTCATTGACTCTTTCAGGCATGCCTTCAAATAAGGCATTTTTTTCAGGTGTTCACAATTTGGATCTTCTCCAGGTGAAACCACATTCTGTATCTCCTCAAACAGTTTTGCCTGGACATCTGGCTTGCAGGAGATGTTGTATAGAGCCCAAAGTAAACTGTTGGCAGTCTAAAAAAAGCAACAGAAGTCACTCTGAATTATAATACTAGCAAAAGAAACCTAAACACATCGTGCTAAAAAATTTGATTTTGTTTTATAGGCAACTTTGGTAGGTTAAAAAACCTGAACTTGCTCTTATGAATGCGAGGACACTTAAAAACATCAGGCTTCACAATTTAGAGAAACATCTGTGACCCTACAATTTGGGGATTAATGGAAACAGGTGATGGATAATCTGAAGTCCTGAGGCCACAGGAGCTTCTAAAAGCCTCAGTTACCGAATTACAAATTTGTAATGCAACCGAAAAAATATTATTAAATGTATAATTGGATGGTTTTCACATTAACTATTTAATTTTAATTAACGAAGAAAATAAAATTACACTTTTTGTCCAGGTTCCATCCATTAGTGCTTCTGATGTGGTTCTTGACAAACCACTCAGTGGAATTTTATATCCACAAAGCTTTGTGTATGTTTAATGTAAGAATATCTTTAATAAAATGCAGAAAATTATAAGATTGTGCCCTAATCCTCTAGTCTCAAGTGTGGATAAGTAAAAACTGGTTCCCCTAATGCAAGTTCAGAGCTTTTGTAGCAAGGAGTTGGTTGGCATACAAGAAGACAAAAAGTGAAATATGGGTCAAAATATATGTACAGTTGCATGTGCCCCATCTCTAATAAACTGGGCAAGCTGCTTCTGAGGTAGGTCTATATATTGCAGTGATTCCAATGATGCTACGGTTGGTCCCATCAACCCCATCAGAATGCACAACTTTTGGGAGGGTCAAAGACTCCGTCCCACAGCTTTTAAATGTCCCTCTTCCAAAATTCAACAATAAATGGAGGTTTAGAATGAAAACCAAATTTGATTTAATCAAAATGAAATTAATTGCTCTTTTTATTTTCCCCTTTCTGCCATGCTGAAATTTAGAACCTGGCAACAATATTTCCAATGGATTCAGGCACCAGTTTGCACTCTACATTACTTCTCACTTGTACCGGCAGAATATCTGCATAAGGCTACATTCATGTAATTGTGTAATTCCTAATTAGTTATACTTGTAACTGACTACATCTCCAAGATTCTGCTATGTTTTACATCTTGTTCAACATATCCAGACTTTTTCCATCCCAGAAGATTCTATTGCAGATGTGTGGTGTGTGGCAGATTATCAGAAACCCGAAATCATTGTTCATTTACAAATGAAAAGAAGCTAACAGTATTTACCGTTTCAACCCCAGCAATTTGAAGCTCTGTAATAGCTGCATATAGTTCTTTCTTAGAAAGCTGGCTCCCAAAGTAGATGTCACAGAGGAAATCTTCAGAGGGATTTGCAGAGTGTTTCTTCAGCCTGCTATCAATGGAGCATTTCACTGCAGGAGAAAAAAGGAAGTGATGATCAAACAATAATATTATGGTGTAGAAGCTTCAAACATCTACTTTTCCATACACATGAGAAATTAAAATATTCAAAAGATCAAGAAATGTTATAAATTAGATCGATCTTCCCCAATCTATCTTCTTCTGAATGTATTTGGACTGCATCTCCCACCCAGGACTACTGGCCAGCCAGTCTGAAAACAGGGAATTCTGGGAGAATGAGTTCCAACAGGACTGGAGAGCCACAGGTTTTAAGAAGCTGTTTTACAAAAAGGGCTGCTGGTTCCTTTTTCATTTAAGCATGAAGATTGTTAGTATGAAAAAATAAGGTTCAGATCCCTATTTTACTATAATAATCCCTGGTTATTTCTCTGAAATTCACTGAAGGAAACTTAGGATATAAGGATAATGTTCAAATCTGTGTGGGAGAGAACTAAACATTTGCCTTAGTGAATAATCCATTCTAGTATTTTTACTCATTACATGGTGAACTTAAGCCATACAATCCAGTATTCATACCAGCTGTAACTAATAACAGAAAAAAGGTTAAGTATCCATTTTAGAATATTGGTAAGTCTGTCGAACTTGGTTTAGGGAGATTTAAGATACAGTAGTCCTCATCGTACGACCATAATTGAGCTCAAAATTTTTGTTGCTAAGCGAGACATTTGTTAAGTGAACTTTGCCTCATCTTATGACCTTTCTTGTCATAATTCTTAAGGGAATCACCGCAGTTGTTAATAATGCAGTTGTTAAGTGAATTTGGCTTTTCCACTGACCCTGCTTATCAGAAGGTTGATCACATGACTCCAGAACACTGCAATGTTCTGTTGCCAAGAGTCTGTAATTTGATCATGTGACCCTGAAGATGCCGCAATGGTTGTAATTGTGAAAAACAGTCATAAGTCACTTTCTTCAATGCTGTAACTTCAAAAGATCACTAACCATTGTAAGTCAAGGACTACCCATAAAAGGTTTTTTGAAGACAGAGCCTAGTGCAGGGGTAGGCAATCTTGGCTCTTTTATGACTCCTGGACTTCAACTCCCAGAATTCCTGAGTCTGCTGGCTCAGGAATTCTGGGAGTTGAAATCCACGAGTCATAAAAGAGCCAAGGTTGCCTACCCCTGGCCTAGTGATTTGGTAAAAATTTATATTCTCTCTTCATCCAACCCAGTATTTTTCAAACTTGGTAACTTTTAAGATGTGTGGACTTCAACTCCCAGAATTCTGACTGGAGAATTGAAGGCTGTCAAGTTTAAAAACCATTGATGTGACCTATCCCACAAAATAGTTCAGATAGATAGGCTGGTTTCTTGATGCAAGATGCAAAATCCACTGCTAAACCTAAGATGCAAATGCAAATTTCACAAAATATTTTCCGTGTCCTTACAAATTTTCAATTACCTGTCTTAAATATATTATCCCATGCATTTGTATGAGCTTGCCAAACTTTTGTATTTAGACTTCTATGGAGTTCAACTGGCGTTACCATCATCTTCCCAAAAGTGCTCATCATCTGTAGTATATAATGAAAAGAACAAACACCATTATTAAAGTACTGGGAAAAGTTCAAAAGAACATATATTTTACTCTTAGAGAAAGGATTAACTTAGATTCAATAAACTGAGCTATATTTGGGCCCTAAACTAGAATACCAAGTAGAATCTGTTCCATGTGGACCTGGGATCATAGTAATCCTTACACATTTCAGTCCATTGCACAAAATCTTAACTTGAATCCTGAATTATCCCATTCTCAGAGTTCACACTATATATATTTAGTATTTTTTTTTCCTGTTTGGATTCTCCTAGTGATCGTGATCTATGTATGTATGTATGTATGTATGTATGTATGTATGTATGTATGTATGTAAAAAAAAACAGATAAAAAACACGATCACCAGGAGAATATAGGTATAAAAATATACTTTACTAAAAACGCCAAGCTTTCGTTGGGGAGGCTCCCAACATCATCAGGGCTGAGAAGCCAGTAAGCAATGATGACTTAAATGGGTTTGGCTGACATTTGCACCCGGCTCTTGGACCGTGTCACTGGTCCTGGCCGGTCAATCTGTATTCTAGATGTTTCTTTGTTACTCTCCATGCATTCTCTTGCATCATTCCCCCAAATCACACCTTTTTTTGTTTTATTGTTAACCCTTTCCTCCTCCTTTCTTTCAATGCCATTAGCTCCCCTCCCATGGCATTGAAAGAAAAGAGGAGGAAAGGGTTAACAATAAAACAAAAAAAGGTGTGATTTGGGGGAATGATGCAAGAGAATGCATGGAGAGTAACAAAGAAACATCTAGAATACAGATTGACCGGCCAGGACCAGTGACACGGTCCAAGAGCCGGGTGCAAATGTCAGCCAAACCCATTTAAGTCATCATTGCTTACTGTTTCAGTAATGAAGTAATGAAGCCTCTTAGCCCTGATGATGTTGGGAGCCTCCCCAACGAAAGCTTGGCATTTTTAATAAAGTATATTTTTATACCTATATTCTCCTGGTGATCGTGTTTTTTATCTGTTTTATAAATATGCCCAGGAGACGTGTTTTTATGGATATTTCTCTCTCTCTCTCTCTCTCTCTCTCTCTGTATATATAAAATTATTTCTTATCCAATGAATGGGGTTTGCATAACATACTAAGCCTTGCTCCCAGATTAACAAGATTAAAATTAACTAAGCTTTTATTGTTGCACTAGGCCTAGGGGCTTTCATTTATCTGATTAAGGATTTTGTGTGAACATAGTAATTTATATGTTTGAGGGCAACAATCTGAAGTATTTCTGGAGGGCTACCACTCAGAAATTGAATGCTTGCTTTCCAAGGTGAAGGACCCAAGGAGAGCCTCCAGGCATCTTCATAGAAGTTGGAGGGAAAAAATCCCTGAAACCTGTAGAGCAACTGACAATCAACCAGTGACCCAGCCTACTATAAGGCATTATCCTATAACACTTGAATTATTCCTTGCAGCTTATTTTCTTATTGAGCATCAAAGGCTTTTTCCATTTATTTAGGTTAAGGGCCTCAGTCAATGGAAACTATTGAAAAGACCTAACTCCAGCATCTCTGTGTAGTTTAGGAGGCATAAGGTTTCTGGAAAATACATCCCAGAATCAATTCCATGCTGGAACTGCATAACTGAATAATTGCAAAGGCTGGGACGTGCAATAGCAAAATAGATGCGTCCCTGGACTGCAGTCCCTTTGTTCCCACAGAAGCAGACATGGCTGACTTGCTAATATCTTACAGAAAATCAATTGGCTATCATATGTGTGGCATTTTCATACCGTTTTTACAGCCTTGATAAAGTTCAAACTTTCCTCCTCCACGTCTCGCTGCAGAAGTCCAAACCTTTTCCCATATAGCATCAGGCAAATACCTAGTATACATATAAAAAAACAAAAGCATGTCCCAGTTTCTTGACCACGTTTTCCTTAACATATCTCTCTGGGAATTTTAAATGATGCCCAATCCCCTCCTTTTGATGCAATTAATATATAATGTCCACAGTATTAGTAACACCTGCTTATGAGGCCTCAAGGACAACACATTCAGTAATAAGCAACTGGCCAGAGTTTCTCTCTACATGGACAAAGTTTATTTATTTATAATATTTTTTATTCTACCTTTATTATTTTATAAGTAACTCAAGGTAGCAAACATAACAATAACCCTATGAGGTGGGTTGGACTGAAAGAGAGTGATTGAGCCAAAGCCACCCAGTCAACTTTCATGCCTAAGATGAGACCTGAACTTATGATCTCCTGGTATTTAGGCCAGCAATTTAACCACTACACCAAACTCGCTCTTCACCTTATCTTTACCTGATGCCTTTCAGTTCTATTGGGATGGAAAATCCCAGAATTCTTAGCCAACATGGCCATCCTGGTTAAGGCATTCTGAGAATTCCAGGTTGGGGAAAGCTAGCCTATATGGATACATTTTAGTGTAGAGAAAAAGCAGCAATGACCCCAGGATGAATAAAAAACTTACTTTCAAATGACCATTTGTTCAGTGCAGAATATAAATCTTCTATTTTTCCGTTCTCATTACAGAGTGTATCTATCTGATGCATAAAATCAGCTAGGACCTGTGGAAGAGATTGAAAAAGCTCTCTTAGTGTTCTGCATCAGAAAAATGAAAGGTCATTAGGAAGTGAATCCAATTTAAAAATACTAACATTATAATACTTTCAAGTCTATGGCATGCTAATTCTACATTTGGAATATCATGTACAGTTCTGATCAGTGCATCACAGGTCTGGAAAAGATCTTTTCGTTTGCTAACTTTAACTAAGTCAGAGGTGAAAAATATATAATTAATATCTGATGGATACTAGTGAAATAGTAAAGTGAAACAGAAATTAAGTAATGTGCTTTTAAACCATTTGGAACTGAAGGCTAGACATGAATATTTGCTCTTTACTTTAATTCTTCCCCTTCCTGTATATAGGAATTTGGCATGCTAAGAAGGAAATTGCAGTCTTCACTGTACCCTGACGTGCTACATTTCTACATGGCAGAGAAATCTGTGAGCTGCATTCAAAATTGTTGTTTCGACTGTATTTCCAACTGGTATAAGTTAAGAAAAATTGTAAGTGATTTCTGGAGAGATAATTTTCTAATTTCTTTCCTTCCTCTTTTAAAGTAGTCCACATAATAACAAGAGTGTTCCAAATTTCAAATTACACCTGTGTCTGGATCAGACTTTTAGAGGCAATTTTAAACACCTATTCTTCTGCAGTACCTCATTGATTTTAGTGTCCAACTTTACAATTTCCACGGGTTTCATTAATTTCTTCTGAAACGCACTTCTTACTCTCTGCCAGTCCTTTCCTTCTCTGTGAAAAACAAATATTCAAGTGATTAAAAGAAATCCTCAACTTAGTACATCCACTATATTGATCATAAAGGCTCTGCAAACCTTTTAACATTTCCTGGTTAAAATGAAAGGTGTGTGCGTGTTATGAGGAAATGTTAAAACAATATTAAGTCTGGGCAGTTTTCATAAGTGAATGCTAAAATATTTTAAGGAAGATAAGCAAGCAGATTAATCAAATTTGATAATATGGGGAAATGGTTTTGCATCCAAATATATCATTTACATTAAATAAAGATAAAAAATTCCCTTAATCAAGCTTAAGCCCTGGGCACAAGTGGAAATGTACCTTATGGATGTGGTTTTCTGCTGCTTTTTTCTGGAATATTTTTCTGACTTAACAATAACAACAACAACAACAATAGTAGTAGTAGTAGTAAAGTTGGAAGGGACCTTGGAGGTCATCTAGTCCAACCCCCTGCTCAGGCAGGAAACCCTATACCATTTCGGACAAATGGCTGTCCAGTCTCTTCTTAAAAACTTCCAGTATTGGAGCATTCACCACTTCTGGAGGCAGGTTGTTCCACTGGTTAATTGTTCTAACTGTCAGGAAGTTTCTCCTTAGTTCTAGGTTGCTTCTCTCCTTGATTAGTTTCCACCCGTTGCTTAATTTCACCTAAAACTTTGAGAGTCCTGTTTAGCTTTTGGGAAGATGTACTAGATGCTGCCGCTGATCTCTTACTTTTCCTGAGATATTAAATTACCATTACACAGCATTCTTCACATTCTGCATTTCCCTTCTAGCTTGAGTCTTATCTTATGTGCATTAGATCTAAAACTGCCTTTCTCCTGCTGCACTTTTTCCATTCTAATGTTGCCAGGAGGGTTAAGTCCAAATTAACTGGGAAAATGCTGCAATTTGCTTCTCTAAACTATCACTATGATAAACTTGCTTGCTTTTAGGATAAAACAGCTGAATGTGGTCCCAAAAGACAAAGCATCCTAAAGAAATATAAATATAAATGGCATATTGACTTTTCTCCCACAATCATTTAATATTTATAAATAATGAAACTACTACCAAAGACTCAAATGTATTTATGAAACAGCAATCTGAACTACTTGCTCTTAGCATCCCTTGCACTAAAACCTCAAGCCAACATAAGCACAGGGCATTTTCAGCACAAAGTGGCAATATGTCCTTCCACATCTTTACTCACAGGATAAGCAGTCCATATCCCTCTTTACGGTAGTCTCGATAGGCTTTCCAGGGTTTAATCTCCAGGCGCTGTGGATAGGCACTTTCTTTCCTATAGAGAGACTCCAGCAGACAGGGTGCACCTATATGAACTGAGTCAAAACTCCCAAGTTTCATGCGGAAGATTTTGCCAAACCTCTGGTGGTATTCAGCCTTGAAGAGAAGGGAAAGGAAAGGGGAGGGGAGGTTAAATTGGGCAGCCAAGCACTCAGTCACCGAGACTTCCTTGCAAGAAGAGGTGAATAAATATACAGTGCAGTACACACAACTTTCAGTTCACACAATGGCTATCTAGCATTCTGTAAGACGCGTCTCCTTCAGACAAAAGATGGACCAGAACAGATCTATTTAAATGGTGATGATGGAGCTTATATTAAGCATTTGATTAAGAACGTCCTAGTGTCATGATGTTAGAACATGTTATCTCAAAAAGTGGTTGCTTCTTCTTCCTTAATGAGCTTTTAAACAAGATGCAAGAATGGTCACCTGTTTAAGGATGCCCCGATGACTGATTCACTGCACTGGCTGAAGACTGACTGGATCAGACTGATCCAATGCAGTCTGAGAATTCTACAATCTGCCCAGTCCATCACAATGATAGGAGATGCTGAACTAGAAGATCTTTGAAGTACCTTCCAAACTCTACCAGGGGGCATCCTTACAGATATTTCCCAATCTTGCCACTAAAACCTTTAGGTCAGAGACGGTTAGCAACTGCTTTTGCCATTCAAAGAACTACGGGTTTTACCATAAGTGACCCTCAACAGTCAGCCAACCCTAGCATTGGGCAGAAGGATCTATTGGAAGGGGGAAAACACAGATTACTCACCAGTGTCTGGTGCTGTTTCTTGAGGCCCCCTTTCCACAGGATGTCTAAGAGGCTGCCCATCAGAGGCCATTTGATGGGACCGGGCAGAGCAGAAAGTGAGTGGGGAGCATGCATGGGGCAAGAAGGCACCTGAGCCTTGGGCTCCAAGGCACACACGGAGGAAGTGGGCACCTGTTGCTGCTGCTGCAAAGCAGGTGCACTCCTGGGACCTCGCAGCTTTAGGAGAGAGCTGAGCAAGGGCGCTCGCTTCAAAGGGGAACTCATGATTCTGGTACTGGATGGAAGGATGGGTGGGTGGGTGGATGAATGGATGGTTCAAACGCTGCGAACCTCCAGCTGCAGGAGGGCTGTACCCGGGAAAGCCAGGCGCGGGAGGAAGGTGGCGAAGAGCTAGGAAGGGAACCTAGAAGGTCCGCGATCTAGCCCCGGGAAGACCCTGGCAGTCAGGATTCCTGGCAAACCGAAAGAAACTTTGCCCCAGTCGGTGGCGTCTGATGGGGCTCTCTCTCCCTTCGTACAACGGCAGGGAAGGTCTGGAGCGCCGCGGGATGAGGATGCTGCGCTCTCTCTGCTCAGGTCCCATAGCCGGGCGGAACGAGGCATATATAGCGTTAGGGGCCGAGAGCTGGGCTTGCCAATTGGAAGGCAGGGGAGGAGAGCAGAGCGCTGGGTGGGGCGGGGGAAGGCCACGGCCCCCGGGGAAGCCTCGGCGGGACTCGGAGTTCGCAGGCCGGAAGCGCCGGTCTCCCGTTCTCCCTGCTGCCCGAACGAAGCTTTCGGGGACTCGCGGCCATCTGGCTGCGTTCCTCCCAGGGCCGAGTCATCCTGCCCCGGCGAGCTCTCCTTTTCCTCCCGGTTCTTAGCGAGCCCTTTTCCTCCGGGAACCCAGCGAGTCAGGCGCCTCCTGCGAGAGAGGCTTCTCCGCCTGGAATCGGGGTCATTCGCAGAGTCAGGTGGAAGCCGGCCCCCGGCCGGAGAGGCGAGAGCTGGGAGAAGAACATGGGACGAAGGGTGCGGCGTATCGTTTACTCGTTAATCTTGCGTAACGCGCGCTCCTTGGTTCCGGGAAAGCCGCAGACAAACGCGGTAACTAACCGGCGAGAGGATGTCCACGCTGAGGGACGGACAAATAATCTACAGCCCGCTTCCCCTGCCCTTATCCCGAGTTAAATCTGCCTTTCTTCTGAGTTGGGGTTAGGGAAAATAAAGGCATTCTTTAATCTGATTTTATGGACCGATGCACAGCAGACGTGCTGTTCTACAGTTCCCATCACTCCCAGCCAACTGGCTTTTGAGTGCTGCCTGCCTGGGATATATGATTTTAGCAGATCTGGTGGAGGAAAACTGATCTAGAATATTGCTCTGTAAACTTCTGGGTTTGCTAGAAAAGCAGCCTGTATTCCTAAGGAATGTGGGACTCTTTAGCCGAATTCCCGTCATTACCGTGAGGATATAGTATCCCGAGGGACTGGCATTCTTTGTTTGACAGGCTGTTGTTGATGCAGTGACCTAGGGAGAGATATTGTCCTATTAATGTTGATGGGAAATATTTTGAGGATGGTGATTGGCTGACAAATAGCCAAACGGCTTGTCTTTCCCACTCTAAATTACAAGCTTTTTCCTTCCTTCTCACCCCACCCCTAATATTTACCAATGACAAACTGGTCCGGTCACATAAATACACCTCCTTTATAAGGACGATGGTGATAAGGAAAGGTTACACATCATGGCTCAGTGTCAGATTAAGCAGGAACATTTCCAGAATGCAACCCAAGGTTGTTTAAACATAGGCTGGGAGAGAAAAGGCCAAACTGGCATCACTGAAGAACATTAGGAATGCCATACAGGATTGCCATAATGTTGTGACGCCAATATAAACTGCAAGAGGGAGAGAAATAAACTCTTATCTTGTCTGAAGATTATGGGCCATTTGGACCTGATGACATTCAATTCTAGGTAAATATAAGTCATTCAGAGTTTATGTACGTCTCTCTTAAAAAATTGAAGGAGCTGTTGTCATAAAGTTCAGATAAAATGGGCTGAAAAAAAGGAAAAGCAGAAAATTACTGGCAATTAATTAATTGCATACTGGACCCAATGTTTGCTTGATAGTGGAACAAATGTTTAAAATTCAGGCAAACCACCGATTTCTTATAATTCTGCTTTTCAAAATTCCTAATAAACTAGGAAATTATTGACTATGAAAATGAAGTCGACTACAAAACCTGATCTTGCTGGATTGCAAGCTGCCGTACTTGACATATGCTATCAGCTTGAAGGAACTCACCCACTCCTTAACTAGCACTCACTTTTCATAAGCTTTTTTTGAAGACTGGATAGGAAAGGAGCATTTATGTCTGCTGTGTGGTACTGATAGAGCAGGAAGGCAAAAGAAAGATGTGGTGTTCCTTAGCTTAGTGAGACCTTTAAGTCACTCTCTTCAATTTCACTGCTAAAAGTGAACATTTCCACCAGCTGTTCTCTACCAGTTTTAAATGAGCTATTCTGACATTTGCTCTATTTCTAGCAAGCACAGAAAGGGAGGAAAAAAAGGTGTTCATTAGACATCTTTTTGTGTCTAATATTGTCAAGGTCAAAGGATGCTGAAACACTGAATATGATTCCAACATTACTGCCAAGAGCCACTTAACCATTGTATCACTTGTGGGGATAACATTTTTTAAATAGCTGAAGGAATATCACAGAAAAGATGGACAAAATCTTTTCTCTATCATCCTAGAATGCAGGACACAGAGCTTAAGATATGGAGGGCAGATTCCCCCTGAATACTAGACAAAATAATGTCTATTATTAAGAGCAGTTTAAGAGTGGGAAACATTTATCTAGAGAGACTGGTGAGCATGTATGGGTGAAAATATGTGTGTGATGCTGTAATCACATTAATACCCTGGACTTAGTAGATTTGTGTCTGATGTAACATTAGTGTGATTAGATAACACAAGCATGTTGTCTTGCAATCACTGAAATTGAATGCAGACACAACTGATGGTGATCTTCATTAGGACCGTCACTGATCATGGATGTTTTAATTTGGATTCCTGAACTTGACAAGGTGGGTGGATTTAGGGGCTTTTTCTTAGTCAATGATTCTGTCATTCAATCAGGGCTCTGCCTTTATTTGATGTTATAATCTTTAAGGATACTTTTATACAGGGAAAGTTGATAGCTGGACAAATAATATTTTGGAGGGTTTTCAAAGAAAACAGGGTTTCTGCAGGATAAAAATGTACCTTTTCTAGATCCATCAGTTTGTTGCCCAACAGATTGTTTGACTTCATTCAAAGAGTATCAGAACAAAAAGGATCAAGTTCAAATTGCACACATTACAATTGTGTGCACTTCTTTAATTGTCAATAGATAGCAGCATCTTGATTTACCTAACTGTTGCTTGTTTGGAACAGGCAATATGAAAAGCAGGCACCCTATTTGATAAGCTACAATAAAAGTTTGCACTGTTGGAGATTAAGATATTTGGCTTAGCCTGGAGGAATCAGATACAGATAGCCATGTAACACAATTCTTAGTGGCTCATTTTGGGCCAGTCTTTACTTCTTACCCTAAGTTACCTCATAAACTCATTGTGGGATAAAGTAAGAAAGGCAAATCATACATCCCCCCTCCCTTTACTTTTGTAGAGAAGAGGTGAAAGAGTATGCTGATGAATGGTAAAGATCTACACTGGGACACTTTTCCACATTTATTTCAGAGTTGTAAAAGACATATTATTTTTGCATGGGAACTACTTATATTAATCATCAATTCTGAGAAAGAAGTGGGGAGAGGCTGTTTGGTTTCGTTTATACCTGTCCAGTTGTGCTGTTTCCCATGTATATTCCCAGGGAAAATGGTGGGCCTGGTATAAAACAGGGATCTCCAAACCTGGCAGCTTTAAGAATTGTGGACTTCAATTCTTAGAATTCCTCAGCCACCCATACTGGCTGGGGAATTCTGGGAGTTGAAGTCCACAAGTTTTAAAGCTGCCATATTTGGAGACCCCAGTATAGAATTTTAGCTTCTGCTGAAGGCCTGGTATAGTAGCTATGTGTATATCCATGCCAATTCATTCACACAAGAAAAGCAGCACTGAGGAAGAAACAACTCTTTCCTGATCTTGTAATTCCACCCACAATGACAGCCTTTTACTATAACCTCTTTAAAGTGATTTCAAAGGAAACCACTGCACTGAAAGATGGGATCAAAAACCTTTGCATCCTGTTTATTTTGGCTTTTCCACTGCTGGTTCACTTCAGTGCCCACCATCAAGCAAGATATTATTCTCACAAATTATTGATTCATCTTTCCCCCGTCTCATGATAATCAGAAGACTGCCCTTCCACAATCAGCTGATGAATAATATTTTTGCTTTCTTCTGCTTTAATCAACCTAGACTTCTGATTGACAAGTAAAGAAATACCAGTAAGATGCTTTAAAATGGGCCAAAGCACTTATTTTCATTGGGTTTGAGGAAATAAGAGAAATAAAAATCTCTTTGCAAAAAAATAAATAAAAATGCTGCTGGCATAGGAAATCTGAGAATGCTGTTGTAACCCTAGAAAAGCCAGGCCAGTTTCAAATCTCACTAGGCAACCGCCAATTATACAGGACAATCATGCTTGCTGAATATAACTTCTTGCATTTAAAAGCATGTCCAGACTTTTTGCTAAGCTCTGAAAATTACTACTCAGAGCCATTCAAGCTATTTTTAACTGATTTTGCATTTGCTTTCGTGCCGGAACAAGCTTGCAGACTTGCTATTATAGGGCATCTGTGAATCTAAAGGGAAAATCCAAAGCTTTGTTTTTGTTTTGCTTTCAATGCTTAATTTCAGAATGTTCAAATAGATATGGATCTGAATGCATATGCGCTAGAATATGCCCCAGAAGGCAAGACAAGAAGCAATGGTTTGAAACTAACTAAGGTGAGAAGCAACCTAGAACTATGGAGAAACTTCCACAGTGAGAACAATCAACCAATGGAATGGAAGTTGCCTTCAGAAGTTGTGGATGCTCCATCATTGGAAGCTTTTAAAAAGAGACTGGACAAACACTTGTCTGAAATGGTATAGGGTCTACTGCTTGAGCAGGGGGTTGGACTAGAAGACCTCTAAGGTCCCTTCCAATTCTGTTATTCTATTATTCTGAATATTGCTAAATGGTCAAATAAACCAGCAGGTATGGCTAAGAACATTTGAAAGAGTTAAAGTTAAAACAGATATTACATGGAAATATCTTTGGTGGCTATGGCTGGTACAAGCTATAGTGCAACACATCTGGAGGCTGATAGGACGAGAAAGCCTGCCTTAAGGGAGCAAAGCCTTGAGCATAATCCAATTAATGTTCCATTTTTGTAGGTTTTCTGTATTGGTAACAGGAGGTATCCCTCCTGGTCTCCAGGGGACATTACTGAGGACTTTTCAGATTTTTTCCTTGTTGGAAGGGAGGTAGTTCTGCCTTGTGTCTGCAGCTTGTATAGGTGAATAGAACAATAATTGAATCAAGACATAATGAGAGAAAAATATTTCCTCATCTAATATAGAGCTGCTTTTTTCTAGATTTTTTAAAATCCTGCTTTTATTATTTTTCATAGAGAACTCAAGGCAGCAATCTACCCAAGGGTCTTTTCTCTTATTTTTCCCCACAACAGCAACCCTGTGAGGTGAGTTGGGCTAAGAGTGACTGACTGTCCAAAGTCAGCCAGTTGGCCTAAGGTGGGACTAGAACTCGGTCTCCAGGTTTTTAAGCCATCTCTTTAACTACTACCCCAAAACTGCTTTTCATCAGGAATAATTCCCTAACTACGTGCCTTACTTTGTCTCTACCTTCTCCCAGCTGGCTGGTATTGAAAGATTTGCAATACCTATATAATTGAGGGTGCCAGGGAGGGAAAAGCTGGCATAGTATTATACCCCTTCTTCATAGGGAAAAAATAACCAAACCATTTGTAGATGCATGTGATACACCTACTTTAAACCCAAGTACAATTATTTCCAAACTACATAGTGCTGCTGCTATATGATGCCACAAGAAAACTCTTGCCTGTTCCTAGAAGTCCCTAACCTTCATCTGTAGAAGTGACCAAATAACAGAATCACCATTCCATCTTGCATCTTATATTCCATGTAGCCTCTGCTGAACTGTTCTACTTCAGCCATGATTAGAGAATTACCATGCAGAGCAATCATGCTTGAAAAATGCATGCAGCAGAAATACCTGTCACCACAGAGACAGTTAATTGTATCTTGGCATCAATAATTGCTCTGTCTTGACTCTCTTCCAGCTAAAGGTCTCTTTATGACAGTGTTTTTCAATCTTGACAATTTTAAGGCATGTGGACTTCAACTCCCAGAATTCCACAGCCAGCCGAGGTGGCGCAGCAGTTAGAGTGCAGTACTGCAGGCC